GACTTTAAAGATTAGTTATAGTATCTGCACAAGATAGTTTACACCTTGTGGGACAAAGAGGTTCTTTATTGTCAAAGAAAACATCATGTGTCTAAAAATGCTACACTCAATATATGGTGTACTCATATTCACAACACAACCCTGTTAATGGTCCCTAGAAATTTCAATCACTTTGTGGTTCACACAGTCTCCATAAAGACAGTAAAACATAATGGGTTACAAAAACTTAGCTACAAAAAATGCAATAGGTCTGAGGTCAAAAGAGGACAGATTTCTAAACCTTGATAGAGAGATATGCTGAAAATGACAGTTGAAAATCTTTGCAATGCAGGCACACCTGGCTCTGATTTTGTAACCCAGAATGATCCAGCACACTGGTTTTCATGCCTATGTGCTGCTGTGGGAACAATAAATACAAGCTAAAGGGCATTAGAAAGGAGCAGTGGACCCAACTTATGCACTAAGAACACACGCAGCTTTTGTTTTTTAAATAAAAATGTTAAATGTTTTATAACATTATAGGCATTTCAAGTGCACAGCATTAGAAACAGTGTTTTATTAAGAGGGCATACTGTGTATTACAGTCTGACAAACACTGAGCAAGAATGAACCAAATGAAGGAATTCTTTCTACATCTCTAGGATTATAAAACAGTGAATTTTTAAGGAATTTTCTGAGAAAGTAGCTAGTCTGGTAATTACAAACTTACACACACACACACACACACACACACACACACACGCGCGCACCCCTGATGGGCAGGGCCTCTTTCTAGACTTTTGCATAGGTACTGAGTGCTCCTACCCAGGGGATTACCAGAAATGGGTGGCTCATGGTAGTACCAAGAACACAAGAGGACTTCAAGAGAACTCACTCATCTGGCCAAGACATCTGGCATGGTTGAGCACAAGGAACACATCTCTCCCGAATGTCAAATGCCTTAAGGTGACTCACCTTTCACTAAGGGATGAAGCATGGAAAAATGTGTAGCAAGATTTTAAAAGGGACTTGCTGTCACCCCCAATCTCTCCTGCTACTTGTAATTTTGTTTTCCTGAGCGTGAAGTACAGGCTAAGAAAACCAGAGATAGGAAAGGGCATAATTACAATAAAAGATAATAAAACAAAGGTATTCATATTACTTTTAAAACGTTTAAACATACTGCTACTGATTAGATGTGCAATAACTGCATTCCCTAAGTTTTTAGGAAAAGGAATTTCAAGTGCAATAGAAAGACTGGTGAGTTTAGTGCATCTGCATTTGTACAGATTCCTTTCAAAAAACGGAATATTCCAAAAGCAGCCTCTGTAACCATGGCGTTTACAAATCCTTACTGAGTCTTTTCAGTGATACAGTAAACAGGAGTTGAGACTGTAGGGTTGGCAAAGAGAATGGGGCAGAGAAGGTACAGAAGTCAAGCATTAGCACAGATGGTTTATTCATCTGTGTCAAGTCCAGGAAAGCTGCTGACATACATGTGTTCCCACTGCAGTTAAAATTGTGGCTACAAAATGAAAACTGCTTTCCTTTTCTGTGTAGGCCAACTGCTAATTCTAATCCCCGCTCTCTCATCTCCACTCTCCCCCAGTGCCTACAGGCCTGAAGCTGCCTCACAGCCAAAGGTGGAGAAGAAGGCGCAGAGCTGATGTGGATCTCTGCCGAGGTGTGCAGTTGTGCCAGAAACCCTGCAGCCCCGCGGGAGAGAGACGGAAAAACCAGCCCTGGCCTCCCATTGAGGAAAATACCTACCTGGCAACCTGTGGACTCCTCCAAAGGTATAAGAAAAACCCAACAGCCCTGAGAAAGCCTGAGATCACCGTAACCAAGTAGAAAACCAGCCTGTTTCCCAGGCAAGGGGGAAAAGAAAGCAGACACGTTAGAGGAGTCCAGTGTAGAGCACTGCAGGTTCAGTTCCCCTAAACAGCTTGCCAGGTGGAAAAAGGAAAAGCCCTAGCTAGGTAATGAAATGGGCCCTTGAGAGCAGATGACTTCATTTTTCTTTCATTTTTTTTGCTTACAACTTTTCCCCCCCTGAGGTGTGTCTTTTTTTTTTTTTAAAGGTCATTATCAAGGAATCAGGAATTTATTATTATTTATTTATGTATTTGGTGGGACCCTCACTGGTGGCCGGGGAACGAACTAGCACTGCGGGTAGCCTCGCAGCCCAGCGCTCAACCGCTGCGCCATCAGGGGAGGCCCTGAGGTGTGTCTTTTTGTGATGAGGGGAAGACCAATGCTGAGGGGCAGGTGGAGCTCATAAAGAGAGGCTTTGAAGATTGCTTGCTCAAGATTCTAGATTCCCTCGAGCTGTGATGTCAGGGACCTCAAAAGCACAAATAACTAAACCAGTGCCTTAGTTCAGTGCTGAAGGCAGTGAAATGAATGGATGCTAAATACAACCATTTTAGTGTGACAGCCAGCCAGCCTCGACTGCATCACTGGTCAGTCTTTAACACTAAGGTAGCACATGGGTAGTAAAATTCCCTGACTATAAGGATGGTACAGTACCCACAATATACAGAGCTGGCTTATCCAACAGCTGGTCTACTACTGTATTTACCATCACAGCAAAACTGAACTGATACAAAAAAAATCTTCTGAAAGATTTTTTTTAAAAACATTAGACATCAATGAAAAAAAAAAGTGGACCTTTCTGGGAACTTATTTCATATGTACTTTTTGCCTCATCTTGTTTATATTGTTATTACCATCATTTTCTCATTGCTTTAGAATTTTTCAGAGTTTTTTTTTTTTTTTTGGGGGGGAGGAGGGGTCTCTGGGCAGGTAAAAGGAAAATGCACTGCCTTAGCTTCGTTTCACCAGCACAGGTTATACCAGCATCGAGACAGGTCTTCAACAACAACCAGTAACATTCCATATCCTTTAGGGATTTTGGAGAGAATTACAAAAGGAAGGGGGAAAAAACCAACTACCAGAGGTCATGAAGCCATAGAGTAATTTGTTGCTGAACAGCATGGTCACCAGATGTAGGAAATACTTTCCAATAGTGCAATTAAAAACCAAGCATTCACATTGTCTGCTTGGATTTCTGTCAGAGGACAACTCCCCCACCCTTCTTTTCAGAATGGGCAAAACCTTTGATCCTTACCAAATTGAGGGAGAAAGCAAAGTTGTACTTTTTATTTATTTCCTAAAAAAAAAAAAAAAAAAGAGCTAGATTCTACCACAACTGAGATAGAATAATCGGAATCAAATGTTCCACTTATATAATAATAACAGTGATAGGACAACTGGTTGTCTCCAAATACTTTCACCATAATTGGTAGAAAGTATAAACTTAAAAAGATTGAATGACAAACAGAAGTGACACATTACTGGATAGATGGCAAGGAAAAAAAGAGCTTGATAAAAGAACTAATATTTTCCCATGTACACAAGACATATTAATTTCAATAGTACTGCCTGAAGGTTATCCCTCCAAATGCTGAATTATTTGCACAATCAAGGATGACTTTCTCCATTCCCAATGGAACTGCCTTCTTTAATTTTCAGTATAATTTTTCCCCCCAAAGACCACCCCCAGGTTTTGTTCCCCATGACTCCACAGCATTGGTGAAATTTTGCCCACGGTTTCTCATATAACTTCAAGACTGCTTAACTTTATAACTTACAGCAAACACATTTTAATATACAGATAGAAAAAATCATTTGATACTTAAAAAAACAGAGGAAGAGAAGTCTGAGATATAGGATTTTGTTAGGCAAAAAGCAACCTTGAATTTTTATTGGGTGTTGAAGTGTAAATATTGTGGAGTTCCCCTAAGATGTCTGGACCAATGTAACAGTCTTCTTTGTTCAGAGCAATGATTTTTAATCTTAATTTGTGACACCCCTGGGTGTCTCCAGATATCTCTGGAGGTGTTGTAAAATTCTCTCCACCAAATGCCAAGTAAAATAATTTAAATTCACTTAAATATTATGCCACACATGTTTGGAGGCAAGAGAAGTGTCCTGGAATCAAAAGAACAATCGTAAGTATTTCAAAAGCCTGGTTCTCCTCGATTCTATTTTATTATATAAACCAACTTATGAACAGATAAACAAAGGAAGTTAGAAACAAAATGAGATCTTATCAGGGTGATTTTGTTGTTGGGGGACACACAGAAGGAGCTAGAGACCTGGGGACATTTTTGTGGAAAACCTTTTAAGACCGCTTTATTTACTCATGACTGAATTAGTGCTGCCTAGCAATTGGAAATCCAGTTTATAGCTCTCCTCTCTACCTCTGCGCTTTAAGATATTGGTACCTTAGAGGATCTCAATTTAGTAGTAGTTTCTTTAAAACAAACAAGAACCACACACACTGACAGCTCGGCAGGGTAAACTTAGCTTAATTTTGTTGACTTCTTTTAGTTTCTGATTTAAATTGCTATCTGGAGATTACATGGGGGTTATGTATTACTGCTCTGCAATAAGCAATTCTCAACTTGATCACCACAAGGCTTAGTAACTGAAACACCACTGTAAGTTTGCTATTGGAAACCTGGTTTATGGACATTACATTTTACTATAGCTTCCAAATTTCCAATAAAATGTTTCCTTATGGGTCACTGCCTCAGGCTTGACAGATTTCTCTATTCAGAACTTCCACTTTAGTAATATGATAAATATGAACATGGATTTCTTCAAGAAGAGTCATACACATATGTACTAAAAAAAAATCTCAAAAAAAAAAAAGCACATATTTTTTCATTAAATAGGCCTGTCTTTTCCCTAGAGAATTCAACTTCACTGCTTACTTATTTTTTCATGTCTTTGCCTACTTAAATTTAGAGCCACATTTTATACAAGGCCTAGAATTCCAGAGAGAAATCCTCCCTAAATAAATTTTATTTAATCCTTTATCAACCCTGTTAACTATTATCCAACAAGACACCAAAAGTTTCTTTTAAGCTATGTCTTCTGCATCACACTTCAAAAACTGAAGAATCAAACATCAGAAAGTTGTAAGTTATAAGAAGGAAGAAAATTATACTTGCCTTATTTGTAGCAGTAGCACTGGATCCAGGGACCACCGGCACATTTGTCACTTGAACTGAAAGATAATTATTATCTATGAGTGGCCAGGCCCCTTCCACTTTACAAGTCTGGAAGTGATCCTTAAAAGTCCTAAGGTGAGGATCTCCAAACAAGCCACAAAAAAGATAATTGGGGGGGTTCTGGTCCCCTTCTCTATGTTCTCTGGCTCCTGTGTGACTGTGATAGTTACAGGGATCATGGGTCACTTCTGGGTTGGTAGAGGATGTGGGACCATCCTTGGAACAGTTCCTCTGGCTCATGAGGTCACTGATACCCAGCACAGCAGAATGGTATACCAGGTTGCCTCGGCAGGCTTTTGAAGTCCGCTGGGTGCAGCCAGCATAGGCACGCAGGGCCTTGCAAAACTCAGAGTCAAAGCCGTCAATGGCAGAGTTCAGGTGTGAAGTCAGGGACACAAAGTCTGTGGTACATTTCTGGATACGACACTGGGCCGGCTGTTGGCAGTCACCTATGGGAAAGAAGGTAAGACCAAATAATTTTTAAATGCTTCAGAACTTCCTGAGCTACATGAGAAAATGACATTCTCCCCTGGGAACTGTTTGTTCTATTTCATATTCTCCTATTTTTAAGAAATCAGAAATAGGGTTGTATTGTGCTCTGTGCCTCTCAAAGTAAGCCACTCACTGGGAGAAAAACTGCATGCAGTTAACATCAAACATGGCTCATTGTTAGTGAACATGAATCTAGTTCAGTGTTATTAGGTTAAAATTATAAGGGAACGGTAAGTAAAGTATTTTTATCAACTTGCTATTATTCACAGATTTTGAAAAAGATTCCCTGGCTCTAAGACCAAGTCAAAGATGGGAACTTTATAGTTGATTCTGAAAACTGTGTAAGTAATTTGCTTTGGAAAGCATTGTCTGTGCACAAAACCATTATTAAAGTCTCCACACCTCAGGTAGGGGGAAACCTTAAATTATAGCATGATAAGTTAAAACAACTTTCCCTGACTCTAGTACAGCTACAGGGTAAGAAAATCAAGAAAAAAATCCAGGTACTAAGTTATTTTGCATTTCCTGAGGGATGTTTATCCACAAATTGTATATAAACCGAAGACATCTTGGTTTCTACAAAGTATAAATGTTCTCTTAAAAAAATGTGGCCATTTCATTGCGATCATTCATTTCAAGTGATCGTTTGACCAAGCTAGGAATTCACTTGGCCCTTAACACACACCACCCAAGTATCCCAGGTTCCAAGAAGTTTACCAGTTAAAAGAACAGTAAATCAAAAGGTATACAACAACTGAAATTACCATGCAGAGATGATTTCACCAATTATGTCATTTTTTTAGAAGTAGAACCAAAGAACTTTAAGATACGGAATTCTTAAAAATCTATATAAACTTTACTTTTTTTCTTTAAATTGGCAATTCAGATAAGCTTAATGATTAAACAAAGTTAAATGAGGTAATGAAATACCAAATATCACTGTCTTACTATTTAAAAGGTCATTTTCAAATAATGTTTTGCCACTAAATTCTCTAGGTCACTGATGTGCTTCTTTTGAAAAATGAGTTTGTTCTAAAATGACCTTTGTGATCTTTTTCAGGCCTAAAAGATGTTAGAATCTGTTCTCTAGATTGGGGTGGGGGATGGAAAATCGGTAAGTATTATTAAATACATAATTATTTCAATATGTATGTATAATAAACTTCAGAGTAATATCAGCATTTATGATTTCATCTGATAATGCCTTAAAACTAAGTGCACTATTGCTTTTAGAAAAATATTTTAATCTTTTCAGTAGTAAACTGCTTTATAAACTGAATTAAATAACTTGTAATCTCTATCTCTGGTTTTAGTTGGGGAGAAAATGGTGGGTGGGGGTTGACGACCTCTGAGGACACCCATGAACCCCAATTTTTAAATTTCAATGACCAAAAAGGAGAAAATGTTGAAATTTTCATTGGGTATTTACTTGAACCTGAGGAAAAAAGATAAGATTAAAACAGTAAGATATTTCGGAGGTATGGATTTATAGCTATCACTAGATTGCACTATAAAAAAGGTCACAAAATGTGTTCTTTCTATTTTGCTTATTCCAAAGTTGACAAAAGCAGCTGATATTTGTAGAATTCCTCTTTCCAAGTAGATCAAGTCATTTTCAGCTATTTTTACTCGAAAAGCAAAAATACCATACAACTCCGCCACCCCCACAGGCATTTAATGCCCTTTTACAGATGGGAAAACCAAGGCAAAGGCCTAGTCCTGGCTATATCATCATGTGAGTAAGTAACCTAAGATTCGAGGTCTTTCCTCAAGTCTGTTTTTCCTTCCCCCACACATCTCCTTTGAATTCCTGATTCTCACAACATGGTTTATTTGAATAGCTTAAAAAAAAGACCTACCTATTTGTATCAAAAAAATTTTTTTCTTTAAAAATCAGATACACAGGGCGAAGATTACTCAGTAGCCAACAGCTCTTTGACTACAAGCAAATGACAGCACAAGAACTTTCCGCTAAACTTGCAGTGCCTATTTGTTCTTTTTATGGTCTATAAAATCCATGCTAGCATACATTTACTTGTAATTATTTCAAATAGTCATAAAAAACCTAAAGTAAGAAGAACATGTGAAACAGCTGTAGATGCAACTGTTCGGAAAGGAAAAAAACTGAACGATTTTAGATTTCCAGCTCCTTTTCCCACTGCTTCCTTCTTGCCTCCCTCCCTTTTTCTTAGCAGGCAGGTGCTGATTGATTCCTCTGAGAAATCTCACATAAAACAGAACTCCTTGGGTTTTTTTGTTTTGGATAAGGTTTCTAACTACCTAATAGAGATGATGGGAGGGAGGAGAGTCTAACTAGGTAGAAAGTGCATTTGGGTCAGCAGTTTTAGCCCCATGGCAGGCTCCTGTATAATGACTAATTTGCAGCATACACCCAGAAATATCCAGGCTTCATGAATTTATAATGACAATGCACACTTTGCCTGTTACAAGCGGTAAAGTAAGCCTCTTGTCAAAGTGCCAAGACAATGCAGAGCAGAAACATCTCAAGGATGTAGCCAAGAAGGCCATGAAGTGTATGAGTAAGCAAATAACTCCCATATTGGATCTCCATTCAGGAATTGCAGAGATCTGCTTACCAAAAAAAAAAAAAAAAAAAAGGTAAATAAAAACACTCTTCATTTCCCAAGGCAAAACTTAAAATCTGTCGTTACTGAGCTTTATTTTTTTAAGTCGGGTCATCCACAACTGGTGTGAGTGTTTTCACTCCAATTAATGAAAGTGCAAAAGGATTTGTTAGGTCTATTAATCTATTAGTGATTCAGACATAAAGACAGTAGCATTCAGTCCAGTTTTCTCAATGCCAGGACTGCACATGTGTAAATTTGCAGCACAGTCACCAATTCATGACAAAGGAAAGGAGATATGCTGAAGTTAAGTAAAATGTGGAGCCATATGGGGTGTTGAGGCAAATTGCATGGACCCAGGCATCAAGCATATGGTAGTCCATCTGCAAAGAGGACTTGGCTAGGCTCCCTGCTGTGAGAAACAACCCCTGCATTTCAATACCACTGCTCTTCAAAGAAATCTCTCAAAAGGAGCCTCTCTCTTCTAACCAGATTAATTGCTCCACTCCAACAAGTTGTCCACACAAATCCTTTACCACAAGAACTGTTGATAGAATTTAATAGTGACTTTAGTAAGGGCACACACATTAAGATACTAAGAGTTGTTTCACATTCCAAGTGCTTGAAATAAGGCACCTTAATTTTATAAACCTTTAAATGAACCTACGTCTTTCACAGGCCAGAAAAGAAATCTTCAAGGACCACATTCCAACCCTGCCATAAGGCCCTGTGGCAACAAAGGGAAACAATACCCAACCAGCCAAGAGGGACACAGTCTCACCTAGCACTTCAATTTCCATTTCAAGAAACCAACACTTTGACATTAGGGACACAATTTTCACGCAAAACACTCCTGATTATTTGACAGTCATGAAAAATGCCCTATAAATAACTTTAAGCAGAATGACACTGTTTTCGCAGGTTCTAATGTCGTCAACTTAGAACCTGAATCATCCTAAAACTTGCTAGTACACTCGTTGACTTCAGTTTAGTTTCTCCAAGTGTCAGTTTTAAAATGCAGCTGTTCCATCACAATGCAAAGTTACACAAAGTCAATTAAACTGTCTTCTCAAAATTTTGCCCCATTACTTAAAATCCTCCCAGATTTTCAGCACACTTGGTATGACTTAGTAAATATTACTTTGCACAGCTGACTATAATTCAGGATTCTCCAGAGTCACAGCGTTGTGACTGCTGTCATACAAACCTCGGGCAAAATATTCTCTAAGGAGGGCCTCCCCTGGTGGCGCAGCGGTTGAGCGCTGGGCTGCGAAGCTGCCTGCAGCCTCTGCAGCGCCGGTTCGATCCCCGGCCGCTGGCGAGGGTCCCACATGGCGCGCAGACCTCTCCTGCCGCCCGCTGCTCCCCTCAGCAGTGTACTTCGGTCCTTCTGCCTGCTCTGCTCCCAGCTCTGGCTCTGGTGAATTCTCTCACCCTCCCACGCTTCTGACTGTACCCAGTGCTTGTATAAATAAATATTAAAAAAAAAAAATATTCTCTAAGGAAAAGTTATCTAATGCTGCGAATTACACTCAAAGTAAAAACTAACCTCAAATTTGGCACTGAAAAAGTTCCTTGTCTAGACTGGACAAACTCCTACAAATGGTACTTATCTGCGAAGAGCGTCCTAGATTTGCCCCCCCCAGTTTTACTGAGATGAACGGACATAAAACACTGTGTTAAGGGAACGCTTTTAACAGAAAAAATAGGTGTCACGTGCCAGCGGGCGCATCTGCAGAGACACCTCCCGTGCGAAGAAGCGAGTCTCGCTGCTGCTTGGGGAGGAGCGCGCCGACCCGGGAGAGCCGCGTGCGATCTGTCAACCCCTCCTGAAACCCCAAAACAGGCGGCTGGCCACAAAGCACGAGTTTTTCCAAAGAGGCCAAAAAAGCGAATTAAAAGCAGCTTTCGCAACAGGACCGAAATCCCCGCTTCAACAACGTGGGCGTTCACGTTACTTCGAGATGAACCCCTCCAGGTTTTCAGACTCGGGGGCAGCTCTTCCCATCCGGTGCAATTTCCTCGCCCGGCCGCCACCCCTCTCCGGAGCCGCCGCACAAGGCTCCTTGTCTCCCCTCGGAGGCGGCGGCGGCGGAAACCTGAGCCGAGCCTGCCTCTCAGTAAACACCAACGCGCGGAGCCATAAAGCGTCCGGAACGCTCGTCCCGGGCGCGCGGGGCGCGCACCCCCGCCGCCCCCGCCCGCCGAATCCCCGCTCGGCGGCCGTCGGAGGGGCGACTCCCCCACGGCCCGGGAGCGGCCGGGCGGGCGGCGGGGCCTCTGCTCCGCGCCCGGGGCGCGCCGCGCGCTCGGCGGGTGCGTCCCAGCCGCGGGCCGGGCCCAGGTGCGCGTCAGGGCGCGCGCGGCCTTCCCCGGCGCGCCCCGCCGCCTTCCGCCCGCGCGCCCCCTCGGGGCCGGGCGCCCGGGAACAAAGCCCTCGGCCCCCGGCCGGCCCCCCGCGCCGCGTACCTGCGTGGAGCAGCCCGAGGCTGAGCAGCAGCAGCAGCAGCAGCGCCGGCGGCGGCGGGCAGAGCCGGGGGCGGCGGCGCGGCTCAGCCCCGGCGGCAGCGGAGGCGGCGGCGCAGGCAGGGGCTGCTCTCAAGCCCATGCCCGTCCATGCAGGTCTCGCGGGCTCCGGCGAGGGCGGCGGCGCGGGCGCCGTGGCGGGTCCGGGGCCGTGGCTGCGGCATGGGCCGGGGGACGCGCCTCGCTTCCTCCTCTTCCTCCTTCAGGCCCGCGCCGGGGACGGGCCGCCGCCACGGGCGCAGCGAGCAGCGCGCCGCGGGCGGAGCGAGTCGGCGGCGGCGGCCACGGGGCGCAGCGGCATCGCGGCGGCGGGCGGCGCGCGGGGGGAGAGGGGCGGGAGGAGAGACACAAAGACCGTGAGCGAGTGCGGAGCGCGGCCCAAGCGCGCGGGCGCCCGGCCCCGGGCCAGCGTGGGCTCGGCGGGCGTGGGCCGGCGGGAGGCGCGCCCAGTCTCCACACGCAGCCGCCGGCGGCGGGGACAGCTCTGCGCGGGGCCCCCGCGGTCAATCAATCTCAGCCCCGCACTGCCGCCCCGCCCCGCCCCAGGCCGGCCAATCCGCTTCGTCCCAGCCCCGGCCGCGCCCCGCCCTCCCGCCCCAATTGGCTACGAGCGCGGTCCGCTGGGCCCAGCCGGCCACTCGTAGGACTCCAAGCCCCCCCCGGCCCCGCCTTCCCTTCAACCCTCTCTGTAATTCGAGTTCCGCGTCGGCCGACTGTGGGGCGCGTCCGCCGCTCCCGGGCCCGACCTCCCCGCGGCTCCCTCCCCTTCCCTCGCCTCCGCCCCCTCCCGCGGTTTACAGTTTCCTCGCGCCCAACGGCAACCGGCAGCCGCAGCTCGCCGAAGCCGTTGTTACGAGGAACAGACCTTTGACCTCTCTTTGAATTAATGGGACTGGGTTCAACTTCCCGCTAAGTTTTCTTTTTTAATGGCCCCCCACCCTCTCCGTCCGTGCAGTTCTGGCTGCTCGGTGGAAGCCGCGCTTTCTGGGGAGCCGCGCGGCGGGCCCCTCGCAGCCCATCGCGTCTGCGGGACCGCGTTTCCAGTGTGCTGGGGAGTTTTGCTAAATCTAGCGTCAGGCCGCGTTGGAGATTCGAACTTGATCCGCGGTCTGGGACAGATCGGATGGTCTGGGAGGGGACCCACCAGCTCCCCCCCTCCCGCGCCCCCCCAAGTCTCTGGCAGGTGTGCGCGCGACTCTGGTGTGTTTCTTTGACGTTTGCCTTCCTGAAAGTTACGGGGAGGGGTCTGAGAGTGGGCAAACTCCAACGTGTTCAGTTACAGTGTAATTAGATTAATGAGGATGGTGAGTTTTTAATGTAGTGTAATTACGCCATGATTTGTTGTTGCTCAGTGGCTTTTCCACAAATTTTCACAGTCTATTAGATTAATTCAGTGGCAGGTCATTTTCTACTTTTGCTATTGGCTGGATCTAAAAATGAGGGGGAAAAAATACAATTATCTGCCAGAGAGGAGGTTGCCAAGTGGAGATATAGGAAAGATGTTTGTGAAATTGATGATAGGTTCCAATTTGTTATCAGTAGGTGTGAAGTGGTATCTAATCTCAAGAACGGCCTCAAAGGCCAAAGGCTCAGGGCTGCTACTTTAAATCCACTTATAATCAAATTAAAGTTCACAGCGTTAACGGCTCTGTTCCTCAGAACCTCTAATTAGGAATTTCACATCAACCAGGGATGCCTTAATACTAATATTCCACCTTATGATGTGTTAAATCAATAGATCAGGATAAATGAGGGCAAAACTTCGATCACTCCAGCTTACTCATTAAACACATTATGATTCGTACAAACCACTAGGTCCCTAATGAAGGATGCCTATCTATTTTTACTGTAACTTTTCATTACTTACTCATTACACATTTGATGACTCAAGAGGTAAACACACCTTTCACTGCCCAAGATATAATCCAAGCCATGTGTACATCCATAATATGCTTAATAACAGCTTCAGAGTTGCCTGAAGAAATGACTTTTTTGGGGGAGGGGGAATGTTATCTGATATGATTTTTAGATAATACTGTGGACTTAAATATTATTAGAGCAAAAATTAACTGTCTTGCAAATACTACATATAATCAATGAAATAAAGTTAAATACTGGTAAATGCCTTTTCAAGAGTACTCAAATATGTACACTTTTCCAAAGTATTTTTGCTAACGAAAACTAAAATGTTTCTTTCTCTTTAACCCAAGATTTAATTAGATCCTATGAGAGCAACATCTCATCTTATTGATCATATTTCAAAACATACAACTAAGAGTTAAGGATCAAATTCAGTTTAGTGTAGGTCTTTTCCTTTGTGACTTTACGATCCCACCCACTCTTCTCCCCCAGTTATATCCTGTTCCTGAAATACACGGTGCTCTAATTTTTTTTTATCAATAGAGGGCGCCCTCTAGTCACTGCAAATCCTGGTGTCATGAAATGGAATTGTTCTTTTAGAGGAAAAACTTAATTTTTTCTAAGGTGCTTTATTGCTCCTCTGTTGTAAAATTTGACAAGCTCAAGATTTATAAGCCTAACAATTCATTTTTTATTGCGGCATAAGTGTTCAGCCGGGTGAAGGAAAAATGTTAATTTTCACAATTAAACCGCAAGGTGGTTCCTATTTTCAAGACATTAGGTCAGTGGCACACTCCCCGGATAAAATCGGACTGTTCGCAAGATCTCCAATCGTCTTGGAAAGCAAGAGCATGGGGCATGAAATGATCGCTTATAGCGCATTCATTGCTCCGGCTTCTAAACAGCAAGTAAGGGAGGGTTTTAAGATTCTACAAAGAAAACTCTGGGAGCTAGAACACAAACAAAAATCGAGGAGTTTTGGAAGTTTCACATTTTAATCAGAAAAAAAATGTGAAGTGACAGCTTGTTCAACTGACAAATCCAGTCTGCTTCTTGACACTTGTATTTTTTCTCCCTCGTCTTTGTTTTCAGGAGGAAAGGTGATAACTAGTACGGTAAATTCAAGGAACCCAGCAAAATGTCCCATGGTGTGAACGTGCGAGAGGATAGAATTTAAACATATGCCAGCAACATTAACGGGTTCTAAACAAGATGCGCTATCTTTCCCTGAATCTATTTGGGATGTCAACTCTTCTGTTAACATATCTCCATTTCCAGAAACCAAGCATCTGCTTAACAGACCACCTGGGGCAGAGAAGCCAGCAATCCAACCCCCGGTTTGCGATTTGTGCAACCCATTCTAGAGCAAAGGTTTCCAGGCTGCTCCCTGGTTCTCGGTGGACATAAAGCAAGGGCTGAAATAGCCCCCCAAGTCTGACCACCCCGAGGTAGTTGTACTTACATCATTCTTAACCCTTCAGTTCCTGGAGGGGGCTTGGTGGGATCAGGGGGTCCCGGAGCTCCTGAAGACGTAGGACCTGGGTGTGAGAGAAGAGTCCCAGAGACCCTGGTGAGCTCTGCGCCCCCGGAAGGAGATGGGCCAGGGCGTGCGGGGGGCTCATCCCTCTGGCGTGCACAACCCGCTCCCGAAACCCCTGCGGGCTCCGCCGTGGCTCGCGCCGCTCAAAGCGGCAGGTGCAAAAAGCATTTGGGAGCCACTTGCCAACGCGGAGGTAATGCGCTTCCTGTCCATTTATCTCAGGAAACCAGTGCAGCCTTCTCTTCGAAACAAAATTAACCTCTCATTAGCCGGCCACTCACTCTCGAGAAGGCCTTAAAAGCTTTACCAGTTCGCTAATGTATTTAGGCTCTTCCAGGCAAAAGCCGCGGCGGCCAGGACTTCCGTCAGCCCCGGGGGTTCCTCTAGGTCCCCCGGGGATTCAATCGCCTACCTACCCCCAGCCTCAAGTCTGGGAAACTCGGACCAACCGATACCCTAATTCGTAGTATTGGGTAGATTCCCACAGATGCCAGAATTTCATGTTAGAAGCCAGCAGAACAAGTCACCACTAATTTCACGAGCTCCTCAAATTAAAACCTCAGTTCCCCTCTGTTCTAGGAACCAGGGAAGGCGCGGGGGGCTGGGGGGGGGGCGCTGACTGTCCTTGAGGGCGCCCTGAGCGCCGGGCGACCCTGGCGCGGGGCGTGGGTGTAATGGCAGCTGGGGTCTAGTTGATCTCAGGAGTGGAGACTCAAATGTGGTTCTAGGTCTGCAAGCGGCTAAAAGCGGCCTTTGGGAGCGCCGGGATTTCTCACCCCGCACCCCCTTTTACTCCCGCCGGCTCGAGGCTGGCAGATTTATACCACACAGGTGGACTGAGACCTAAACAAAACAGTCCCGGCCGCTGCCTGCCGCACGCCCCCCACGTCCCCCTGGCCCACCGCAAACTTCAACAAAATAAACAACTCACCACAGGCATTCCCTTGTCTGCAGCGCGACGCTCGCCAGCTGGGAAAATAAGCCGCAAGCCACGCGGCCGGGGCGCAGGGGAAGGGCAGAGAGGCGCCCCGCGCTCCCCCTGGGTCGGGGCAGCGGCACCCCAGCCCCGAAGAGTCTCCGCCTCGGGGTCCGCACTCCCGACTCCCCGACCGCGGAGAGCGCGCCCGGCCAGGGGCTGCACCCTTCTAGAGACCCGGATCGCTTCGCCGCCTAGGGGAGGGGGCGGGGAGGCAAACCCCTTAATTCCCTCCTGCTTTCTGGGAGCCGCTTTCTCCCTTGTCTGGTTTCAAAGAACAGCAAACCTAAGGGTCCCCACCCAAAGCCTCCAGCATTGTAGCGCCCCCTGCCGGAACTACCCGGGCCTTCCCTGAGCGCCTGGGAATCGGCGTCTTGCGACTTCCCAGACCTCAGCCTCCAAGTCTGAACTCAGCGCTCACCTCTCTCCCCCCACCCGCCTCCCCGTGCTGCACAAAGACGCCTTTCACGCTGCCAGCGCCACCCTCTGCGTCGCCCTCCTGGTCGGCCTCATCGCCTTTGCCCACCCGTCGCACCAACCAAGTCTCGGTCGCTGATGGTGCCAGCCGCCCCCCAGCAGGGAGCGCAGGCAGCTCCCGCCGCGCGCCCCCCACGGTCTACAGAAGTGACCCCCCCACACACAGCCCACCTTCCGCAACTTTGTCCGCCAGCGGCCGCGAAATGCACCCTTTCTTTTCCATGCATTATCTTCGAGGGTCTTCCTAGTGTCTAAATATGGTGGTGGCGGTGGTGAAAGGGGAGGGATCTGGCAGGAATGATCCTCTGGACTTTGACGAAATGGGAAATCCAGCGACCTTCCCTGTCCACCTGGGGTGTCAGTGTGTCTTTATTTGACAGCTTACGCAAGCCCAGGATAACGATTTGGAAATTGAAGAAGGGACAGAGAATAGAATAAAACACCCAAGATAGGTGAATACGTGTATTACACACACACACACACATATATATATTTAAAAAGCCCACGAAGTGCTTGAGGAAAAACAGGGTAAGCGTGGAAGGCGCAGAGGAGGAGAAGGGACCGACTAGCATTCTTCACTAGGCCGATCTTATAAGCATCACAGACATTCAGCCGCAACGACTGCTCTGTGAGCTGTGTGTGCCTGGACCAGCAGGCTGCCTCTCTTGGTCCAGGCTCTTGTTAAGCACTTTGATTTAGGTAGTTGACTTCTTGGGAGTATCTCACCCTCAGCTGCAGCTCTCAGCCTTCTGGTACCTCTACTCCTGAGAGTTTCTCGTCTAACGCTAGAGGCGGTATAGGGCAGTGGAAAGACGGCGGGATAGGAATCCAGCGAGAAGGGTCTAGGCTTGACTGAGTACGAAGACGTCTTAGGCAACAGATCTGATGTCTTTGGACCACGAGGTCACAACTAAGAAAGGGTGTGTTAAAGCCAATGGCCGGGTTCCTTCCGGCTCTGAAATTCTGTGGCCGCGGACGCCTCTTCACACCCTCTACAGGTTCACTTTTATGTCTTTGCTCACTTTGCTTTTTCTTCTCCAAATGCCAATCGAATTGAAAAATAAAATACTGGGGATGGTGTTTTTGGTAAATGTTAGCTATTTTAAAACATGCTCTTTCGGTGGCTGAGATTTAAAAAAAAAGAAAGAAAACAAAAGCCAAAAAAATTCAGCTGCTGGTTCACAGAAACAAGGAATTTTAATGTTCCCACTTGCGTTGCCTTTGAAAGGCCACTCCAGCAATCAACAGAGCAGAGTTTTGATTTCAAACTTAAAGGAGAGTCTCCTGTGTTTTCCTTTTCCTTTCCACCAACACAAAGACAAGCTGTCGCATAAAATAATGATGAACAAGAGTTCAAAGCAAGCCCAGAGAGCTGGGGAAGATGCTTTTTAATGCAGCTCCAGTCCTCACTCCCCTACTAAGCTGGCTTCGACAGCAGATAAATAGTAGGCACAGGCTGCCAGTATCCCTTTACTCCCTCACTCCTTTTCAGTAAACACTGGTCAGTGGAACCTGTATGTTAATTGTCAGTCATCGTGTAAATGCATTCGTTAAATCAAGATCTTTAATTTTTCCTTAGCTTCATGGTACTTTCCAGGATTTTGATTTGCAAGATTTTGAATCTTGAGCTTTCTTCTATCCCATGGGCAACCGTGCCTGTTTTCTGTGGAAACTTTTCTGAAACCAAGACAAAAACTAAAGTGAAATTTCACAGTAAGGTATACAACAGGTTCAGTACTTATTTTTAAACTACAAATTGCTTAGTTCTTCAATTTCAACAACAGAATTTCAGAGTTACTCAGCATTCATAGCAATGGACACTTTAAAACATTTTTCATTAAACTCTAAATTTTCATTGGAAAAATGTTTCTTTAAATAATACTGGTGGGAAAATATTTTAAGTTTGTCTAATTCTTTTGCCTTCATTTGTGTCAGTGTCAACCTCCTTTCCCCCACTGTTCTATTCACAGATCCTAAAAACATTATATTTCTAATTAGACTTGGATGTTATATTAGTAAAAGGACATGATTTGCCCCCCTCCATATTCTTTATCTTGCTCAGTGCTTCACAACTCCCTCCCCTTATCTCATTCTGAACTTTCTTCCCCTCAAGTCATAGTAACCATAAATTAAAGATGGCAATAGACAAGGGACAAAAATCACTATTCAGTAAAATTGGGCATATTGACCTAGTCTGTTGACTAGAAAGAAAGCTGATGATGATGCAAGGTATATTTGCAACATCTTCTGAATTTTCAATTAAACTGTGATTGAACTCCAGCTTGGATGGGTACATTCCACTCTCCACTTGTCAAGGTCACAGCTTGAAATATTTTTTCTTTTTGCAAATTGAAGGCATTATCTCAATTATCAAGAAGTAAGTAGAACATTTTCTAGTATTTCTTGTTTTGTATTTTTGCATGTTTTGTTGAAGTTATTCTTTAAACTAGTAATATTATCATAAGATTGGTAAGGAATAGACTACTTGTAAAATTATACTAGGAGAAGATGCTACTTTTTTTTTTTTCCAAATATTTATTTATTTATTTATACAAGCACTGGGTATAATCAGACATGCTGGAGGGTGAGAGAATTCACCAGAGCCAGAGCCAGGAGCAGAATAGGCAGAGTGACATAGCACACTGCTGAGGGGAGCAGCGGGCTCGGCAAGAGAGGTCTGTGCGCCATGTGGGACCTTCGCCAGCAGCAAGGGATGGAACCAAGGCTGCAGAGGCTGCAGACAACTTCGCAGCCCAGCGCTCAACCGCTGCACCACCAGGGAGGCCCGAGAAGATGCTACTTTGTACATGACATAAATAGAAATATTTTATTTAGAGGTAATTGAACTTCATCAAGATCTTTTTTGTTATACAGCAGTGTTTAATTTAAGTAAAACCATAAGGGATCAAAAGCACACTTCAAGTTTTTAAAAGGGTAGGAATTCATTCCCTACCCCCCCACCTCCTTACAAAGGTGTAGAAATATAAGGCTGTCTTGAACCACCAACATATATTGTAGCTAATATAAAGAATTCTGATAAAATGTAAATTTTAGAGATTAGCTTCACACACATAGTTTAATGAACAAATAAAATTTATTAAAAAGTATATCCTTCAAAATGCAAATGGCCTACAGGCATATGAAAAAATGTTCAGCATCACCTGTAATGAAATGCAAATCAAAACTACAATGAGATACCAGTAAGAATGGCACATATTAAAAAAACTAGCTACAACAAATGTTGGTGAGGATGTGGAGAAAAAGGAACTCTCCTGCACTGCTGGTGGGAGTGCAAACTGGTCCAACCACTATGGAAGGCTGTGTGGAGAATCTTCAACCTGCTAAAGATGGAGCTTCCATATGATCCAGCAATTCTACTTCTAGGTATTTACCCAAAGGACACAGAATCTTTAATTCAAAAGGGCACCTGCACCCCTTTGTTTACAGCAGCACTATTTACAATAGCTAAGCTATGGAAACAACCCAAATGCCCAAAAATAGATGACTGGATCAAGAAGATGTGGTACATATACACTATGGAATATTACTCAGCAATCAAAAAAGATAAACTCATTCAATTTGCAGCAACATGGATGGAGCTGGAAGGGATCATGCTCAGCAAAATAAGCCAGAAAGAGAAAAAAAATACCGGATGGTCTCACTTGTAGCAGGAAATTAGAAAACCTAAATAAGGGACCAGGAAAAAGACTAATTATAATAAAGTAAAAATCAAAAATCAAAAAGCAACTGTAAACCAGATATATGCTATGGGCAGGGATGGGGAGGAGGGATTAGGGTCAAAATAAGGGGGGGGTGGGAATTGTATGGGAAATATAACCAAGATGAAAATGCATACATTGTGCAAAAATGAAAAATGATGTAAAAAATATATAAAATAAAATAAAAAGTATATCCTTCAGAAGATGAAAACTACTACATTGTATAACAGTGCAAGCCTGATTTCATGGAGAAGTGTTGCAAGGCTAAAGTGTTCTTGCATATGTACACAATAAAATAGGTAAGTAGATGCATACTAAATTAATCCTCAATATTCATGAAAAATATCTGATAAAAAGAAAATAGACTACCTCCTCAAAGTGCTTACTATTAGAAAAAACTGTTGTTATGACTCTTTAGTCACTCAGCACAGTATAAAATAGTAGAATATGAAACAGCAGGGACCAGTGTTTTTATTTATTATTTTAATTGCAGTCATTACAGACACACATATACCCTTTTCTAGATCTTGTAATATGTCTAAATATGCAAAGGGTATATATATTCCTAAGTATTCACTCCTTTACATTATATTTGCCCTATAAAAAGCAACTTCAAGGAGTTGAAAGAATCTTTTTAGAGAGGTAAATAATCATAATTCATAATTTCTTTAGAGGCAAAATCTCTATCCCCACACTGACCTGTATACACAGTGGCAAGAACAGTACAAAAGCATGACAGAATGGAATACACTATGGGCCTTAAATTTCCATGAAATCCAAGACATATGGGGAATAAGGTACTCTTGATTCTAATGGCCAATATTACCAATTATGAGCTTAAATAAGAAAATACTGGGTGTGTTCTAATATGCAGATGATATTTGTTTATATCTTACCGGTATTATAGAAAAGATACATTCTAACTCAATAAATTGAAAAATAGACCAAAGAAATCAGTGTTCAAATAATCACAAGTACAAAAATAATAAACATTTTCATTTCCCGTCTCTCTCCAGATTACATCA